CCCCAAGAGTTTTTTCAATATGACCCAAAATACTCTGGAATACAAATTTTATCAAAAGACCATTTAATGCGCGGAGGGCTGGTGGTATATGATGAATCTTTAATGCCCTCTTGTGGTGCAATTCTGTATTACAGCGAAGTAAGGAAGGGAATGTTGAAGCACGATTTAAACTAAATTTCCTCAGAGTACTCAAGCACACAGGTGAAGGTGTACAAATACCTGTTTCTGTGTACTTTTTCTTCAATTGTTGAAGGTATTTTGTAGTTGTTTCGTTACTTTATCCCCAAAGTGAACTCGTGTCTTATCATTTGTTAAAAAAAAAAGATTTACTGCGAAATGAATTATGTTAAAAATAGGTGGACCTTTTTTTTTTGCAGCGTGTTGGTGCCGCCTCCTTTCTGTGCGTAAAGACGCATTAAGAAGTGGCACAGATAATCCAGACAGGAGGTGCTTTGGCCACAGCTCAGCCTTCATTGATGGTGAGCAGGGAGGCAGAAGTCTCATCTGAGCTGCTTGTATTACTCACTTTTCTATGTTTTTCTAGTTTTTTTAAACTCGTCTGAACTTTTCACTCTTCTCTCACAATTTTCCGTTTGCGTCTCCAGCTGCAAACTTTCAGTGACTTCCTACAAGCTTGTGTTGAGATGGTCTCCATCTTCCGGAGACGGAGGTTATCAATGGGATTTCGGTGTCCCCTGCATCACCTGAGGACAGTTGGACAGTGAGCCGGAGCACGTCTGGAGGCTGAATGGACAACATGTCTCCACAGCAGCAGCAGCAGCAGCAGCAGGACAGCCTCAGGCGAGGGGGTGCAGGGCAGCAGGAAAACAAACGGGTATGTTTTTAAAATCCAGATTCTGGTAACACGTGTCTAATTTAAAATGTTAAGGAGAACCCTGAATAGACTCATTTACGCGCATCAGATTGTCTCCATCCATAGTTATTTCACCATCATGTGCCTGACATGGGGTCACACCCCCCACCCCCCATCACCAATTAGTTTAATAACTAATTAATCATCCGATGTCATTTTCAAAGCAAATAACGTAAATTCATTATAAGATTTTTTCAATCATGAAAAGAACAATTACCTGGTTTGTTGTAGATCTATAGTTATAGTTGACTTGACTGTTGTGTGACTGACATTTGGCAAAATTATTGTGCAGTTTAGGTTCAAAAGGTTCAAAGGTTTTATTTGTCATCTGCAAACAGATACAGCGTAAATGTTGGCAATGAAAATCTTAAATCCCAGGCACCTCAAGCAGCTCAACATGTAATAGTGTCAGAAAAAATTATAAAATGAGAGTAACTAAAAATACAAAAATACCAATACACTAGTGCAAATAAACAAGAAAGTACAAATGTCATTAACTAGTGCAAAAAATAAAATAAACATTAAAAGGTGCCAATAAACATTATAATAAAACATTATAAGGTGCTAAGGTGAAATATAAACATGTGCAGTCATGATTTAGCAGCAGTTATGGGGAGGTATGAACAGATATGAATTATTGCACTCATTTATTTTTATGTAGCTTAGAAATATGATGAATAGGAAGATGTAGCAGAATGAGAATTATTATAGACTAAATAAATATAGTTCTTTGTGTGTATGAATATTATAATGTGTAAATGAATATGTTGCTATAAACAGATGTAGTGACTTTCACAGAGCTCAGGAGTTCAACAGTCTTATAGCCTGTGGGATAAAACTGTCCCTGAGTCTGGTGGTCCTGGTCCGGATGCTGCGGTACCGTCTGCCAGATGGCAGCAGACAGGAGAGTTTGTTGCTGGGGTGATGGGGGTCTTTTAATATCCTGTGAGCCCCCTTCCTACAACGCTGGGTGTAGAGGTCCTCCATGGATGATAGCTCCGTCCTGGTGATGTGCTGAGCAGTTTTCACCACCCTCTGTAGAGTCTTACGGTTGAGGGCGGTGCAACTGCCGTACCAGGCCGTGATGCAGCCGGTCAGGATACTCTCGATGGTGCACCTGTAGAAGTTGCAGAGTATCCTGGAGTCCATGTTGAACCTCCGCAGCCTGCGGAGGAAGAAGAGCCGCTGACGAGCTGTCTTTGTGATAACTCTGGTGTGATGGGTCCATGTCAGGTCCTCAGTGATGTGAACCCCGAGGAACCTGAAGCTGCTGACTCTCTCCACAGGAGTCCCGTCGATGGTGATGGGGGCGTGTCCATCTCTCTGCTTCTTCCTGTAATCCATCTGATATTCAACCTAATATCTATATGTGCAGCTTTTGCCTGTTATTGATTGATTGCTTAGTTCATCAGTGAGTCTGTGGCTGCAAGACGTCATGGTGATGTAAGAAAAGAGTCCTGCGGCTCTGTCCTTGATGATTGTTTATGTATGTTCTGAGTGTCCCTGCAGGGTTCTGACAATATGAGCAAACGCAGTGATCACTGGGGATTTGCATATCCATATGAGAGTAAACCAAACAGCCTAGAAACCTTTAAAACAGCCCAGCTTCCTCTTAGCTGCTGTGTTGGGTCGCTAATATCAGAGCTGATCTGGTGTTAGTCAACAGACCAGGAAAGTCATATTTCCACATTAGCTTATTATGTCGCAGTGTATTTTTAGGGCTGAAAGGTAACATTGTAATGTTGTGGCTGGAGTGTGAGGAATGTTTCACCACTGTGTGACACGACTAAATCAACGATAATAGTTGTGAAATGTCAGAAATGTGTGGACGTGCATGTCGGTGGTTCGGTGGAGGGGGTTTGATCTATTCTCACTGTGGACTCTTTTAGGTCTGTTTGCACTGAGCATGTTTTAAACTCCGCAGACAAACTGGTGACTGTGGTCGACCTACTGACGGAGAATGTGACAGAAAAACACACGTTTTCCAAGATATCTCTGCAAAGAGAGGGTCTGCAGGGACGACCTAATGTTTATACTTGTCAGAAAATTATTGTTATATAAGAAGAAGTGTCAATGAATCAGAAAAAGTGTTAAAAGTGCTTTTTTCTGCATCTTTGCATCCTGACGCACAACAAACTGAAAATCTTAAAGCTCAGGTGGAGTAAATAATGGAATAAATGAACT